ATCTAATGCGTGCCACATGTATCAAGCTACTTACGTTCCAGCTATGCTCTGAGCTGCAAACGAATAACATGTAATTATACTACTTCCAATAAGCGGGTAGGCGTTTATGTTTACCTGTTTCAATTGGCCGACGGCTGATCGTTCTTCACCTACAGCCTCTTTTCTGAAATTTCCTTCCCTATCGATGCTTTTCAGTATATATACAGTAGAGAGTTCAAAGGCGTTTGCTTATCTTTTTCTTGATATCCGTCCACGATAATTGCGCAGAATATGTGATTAAAGGCGGGCAGGGTCCGTAAAATCAGCCCTTCTTCACCCCATTTTGATTCACTTTCATGGGGCCCCCTAATCCTCTCATCGTGAAAGCGTCAAACCATCAACGTGAACCATTCGGGACATGCAACATTTCTCACTTCTTCTACAACGTGTTTTGGTTTTAGATGACGAGGTGTTGGTGAGATCCGGGGGAGCTGTGTGAAAGTCTGCTTTCCATCTCCTGAAAAATGGCAGGGCAGAAGTCGGCTATAATAGCGACATGACAGAGTTGATTAGGAACAGCGGGACTGCGTAGCCTAGTAAAAAGTTCTACCCAAAGTGCGAAATTTTGCATTATAAGGCGTATTTACGGAGTTATAGATCTTAAGCCATTAATATGCGCGAATATTCGGGGTCCAGATATAATATCGTGCTCATCATCCCGGGGATGATGAGCACGATGTCTTAAGCCATGTTTTTCGGCTAATACCCGACTAGTACTCATTGCAGTTAGCTTGTGCACTTAAGTCTCCGTTCGGAAGTGCAAGTATTCCACTTGTTATGTGAACTTTGTTTGTTTTTCTCATCTTTGGATGTTAGATGTCGTTTTTTATTTCCTAATCTGCTACTCCTTCCAGCGAATTGAGACGAGCCTTACTTGGAGTCGGGAGCGAAATTTTGATAAAGATTGGATACGATTGACGGCAGACCAGATGCTCGCCAGTCTCTCGGAAGTCCGAATAGCGAATGATGTCTTCCAGCAACTTCTTGTCCGCCTGCATGAATCCCACGAACTCTTCTCACAAGTCAGTATTTATTTAAGCCCATTATTCTCTGTACTTAATCATAGTCAGTAGCTGTGTAACGGTTTCTTTTGATCAAAGACCTTGAGGAGGCTTGAGGCACGGGCCGAACAAAGGACTACACAATTCGAGGAATCTCAAGCCTCGATACGACGCTACCATGCACCACGATTGGCTCGACAGCTGCTAGAAATTACCTCACTGCAAAATTTGATCGTTATGGGTTATCCAGCACTCGGACGCGAAATCGGCCGTGGTCAGTTCGGTGTCGTCTACACATGTCCCACCTGGGGATCACTCAAAAATTTAGCCGTCAAGTCCGTCGTCCCAGCAGACGAAAAACACTGGCGTGAACTGGCTATGGAAATATATTACATCGGGTATGTTTGGAGTTGCCAACCGTTTTACTTGCCCTTTAACTAATCAATACAGCGGAGGAGTTCGATCGCATATGCTCAGAGGAGCTTTCAGTGAAATTTAACAACTCAACAGAACAAAATACCGTGCCTTAAGATCTGATGAAAATGAAACTAAACACTAAACTATGTCTCCTACTCTCTGGGAATTATGCATTGATGTTAATGGGCTTGTTTTAGTGTGTTAAAGAACACCAGTTAAGAAGTTGGCGCGACCCTGATTAATCGTCCTACACACGCTGCCAATTTGTGGCCTGCTATTCGTAGTAGGTTTTGTTCGTGCACATTTTGCAGCTTAATTAGGTATTTTTTAATCGGGAACCGAAGGCATACACGAGCGCAACGCGTAGGAGGCTTAAAGGTCAATTCCAACGTGCAGAGAAAGTCTTCTGGATTACCGTGTTTCTTGTTGCCTCTTTTGCGAAGAGTAGGAACAATCTTTTTGAAAGTGTTAAATGACACATGCACATACCATACACGCCCACAAACG